GGTAGATATGCCATCATCATGGACATATGAACCTATGCGAATGGACTACGCACCTGATTGTGAGCATAGGCTAGCGCAGTGTCCAAGCTTGAGGCTCGGGGTTGCTACTTACTACTGGGCTGAGGGACTTGGTGTAGTTGCGTTCGGGGCTTCGGTCGTGCAGGGTACATGAATCAAATGTCTGTGTTGTGGTCTTTGGATTAAGAGATTTAAGATTCAGCTTGAAGCAAGCGTCTCGAAGCAATTCGAGGCGATGCAAGCAATGATTCGGCAAGAAGGACCAAACATGACGATGAGCAACGACATCTGCAAGAACACTGACAACGACTGAGCAACCAAGCCTGTTCGTAATACTGACCATCATTACAAGGATCACCACCAACACGACCGCCGCCCCCGCCGCCGTCATTGTATTCACAAGTAAAGATTGCAACAGTATTTACAAGGAATTTGTGCCAGTGAAAGTCATGATGCTCACAGCCATAGTCTGATTCACTGCTGGATGTTTGAGGACACCTAAAGCTGCGTCAGTGTTTCCCAACAACTCTGACCAAGCACTACCACTGTACACGAGACCAAGTTGGATCCAGTAATGAAGGCCCGTCCAACCAGGCTGCAGCGCCAAGGTATAACCTCCCCAAAATGCAATCCTAAGCCCTCTGCTTGTTCTTGGTACGCCAACAGTCCCAACAGTATGCTGCGCGCCTGTCTGCTTCTTGCCCCGGTGATGCCGCGAGAGCGTCCTGGTGAGCAAGATCTTCCGAGTTTGCTGGCTAGATCAAACTTTAGAGTCCAGGCTGCTCCTTGATCTTTCGCAAGCCCTGAATCTAACCCCTAGCTGAACAAGAAGAGCCCTTCCTAGGCACTCAGCTGAGCGGTCTCGTTGAAAGGGCACATGTGTACACAGCAACCGGAGGCATCCTGGTGAAGAAGCTGTGGGCTTTGCAAGTCTTCTTCGACCTCCTTGCGCAAGTGCGGCGGGGGCTTGACCTTCCCGGCCGGAGTGCTTCAGATAGCGCAACTTCTTGTCATGGTCTAATCTAGAACACAAACACTGGGTGATGACAATAGTCTCTACAACTTCCATGCCAACCCGCCTGCAGATCATCAGAGCTTTCGCAAGCTTTCTGCAGGTCTTGTGCTGGCAGATGAAGCCGCGGGCTCATCGACTCGGTGCTGGAAGTTTCCCAGAACTCGCTGCTGCGGGATGCGCTGCTGGCCCTCGATGATCTGGTAGGAACCACAAAATCAATGCCAGAGTCCGTTGCCGGCTTGGTATTGGCACAATGGCCGCGGCCGATGAGGACCATGAAGTTTGGTGCCGGGTCTGGCTTGTGCATGCGGGAGACAGCTGGCAGAGCCAGATGTCTCGGGTGCGTTAACAACGGCCTCGGTGAAACAGCACGGGCAAGCGTGCTTCCGCAGCGGGCGCGCAGACCGTGCAAGAAATTCGGGCAAGCCAGAATGTTCACGTGTGATCTTCCAAACATGCATGGCGGAGCTGCCATTTCGTCTGCCAGCCGAGCATTCAGAATGAAAGCTGAGTCATAAGCTGAGCCGTAGGGTTGCAGTTGCAGGTCAAACAGGTCTCTCTCCGCAGGCTGCGCCCTGCTCCGACCCGGAAATGCAGGCAGCGGCATGTCTGATTCTGGGATCTGGGGATAAGGTGTCAGCACCATTCGTGCCACATCATGGCATGTGCTAGAACTGTCGTAGAAGTCATCCGGCTCTGCCGCCGGCTCTGCAGCGAACTGAGGATGGGACACTAAAAGGTCAACCGCAGCGGCCAAGTCTGTTCCAGCTTCGCTGTGCCTCTTCGCTCCGCCGTAGGCCGGCTGCTCCACACAGGCGACATGGCAGGAAGAAAACAACTGGTCGGGTCTTTCACCATGCCTCTGAGAGCTCGTTGCCGCAGGATCTTGCAAGATTGCAGGCGGGCAGGGCGCAGGCTCTGCTGACTCTTCCTCCTCCTGGACAAATCCCGTTTCGGGGGCTTCAGCCGCATCTGCCCTGCAGGCAAAGCTGGAGTCGGCATCTTCTGCAGTTTCCTGGAGGCTCCCAGGGTCAGCTCCAATGCTGCTGCAGAAGCTGGGTGACACATCGAGGCCCATGTCCTTTGGATCGTCAAGGGCACACTCCCTTGTCTTGGCCTCAGACAAACGCTCTTCCTTAAAGCAGATTGGCACCTCCGCCTCGAAGTCCTCCTCGGAATCCACTTCTGAGCGCGGTGAACGCCGAAACCGAGATACCGCGCCCCACAGAGAAGCACGGTCGAGAAGAAGGCCTTAGCTACCAAACAAGCAAGTGTGCCGGGCAGGGTAGATTGAGGATGACCAGGGGATTTCGGGGTGCTATGACTGCCTGGTGGCAGCACAATTTGCCGTAGTCTTGGGCTCAAGAATGGCCATAGTTTTACTCACAGGGTTCGTGGTGTTTCTACATCGACTGGTACAAGCACGGACGCCATTGTTCTGCAGGAGTGTCTCTGAAGATTGGGTATTTCGGGGGCAGGCATATGGGGGTCCAGCGCTTAGGATTTTCTAGGGGACACTTTGCAAAGCTCCCATGGCATCACGACCTCGGCTCCTAAACCCTGAACTCTAAACCACCTTAATCTTAAACCCTGAACCTTAAACCCTAAACCGTAAACATCCGTAAGCTCTGAACCCCAAACCCTGAAACCTAAACCCTAAACCCTCCCCTCTGGGGCACCCTGCAGGGCTGTGCCTCCCGGTCGAACATGGGAGGGCCATCTGCGAGCGGTCCATGGGCCCTGAAGTCTGGCAAAGGCTCCTGCGCACTTGGCTATCAAATTTACGAGCCCCTAGACTATATTACGGCACCTAATATTTAGGGTACCAAAACGGGACCCCAGATTTGGGAACTGCACACTTGGAGGCTTCTCAAAATGGGCTGTCCTAAGCGACGGGCTCCGCCGCGCGGCGAGGGCTACTGTACACGTTTGGGTGCGTGTGGAGTTTAAGAGTTCAGTCTACCATGGGTTTGTCTTCCTGGATCCTTCTTAGAATGTTGCGACAGAGGAAACTCAACTCTCACACCCGAGTGCCTTGGGGGCTCCTAAGTTCTGTGTGTCAGTCCGTCTTGTCAAGTCCACCCTCCACATGGGTGAACCAGTAGTAAAACTCAACATGACACCATCAGCTTGGCAAATGCTCCTCACTGGAGCTGCACTCGTCGCTCAGGCAAAGCCCTGCGCATGACGAGGGAGGATCCAGGGACAAACTCTGCGGCTCTGAGGCCATGTTGACAAGAATTTTTAGGGTTTAGGATTGAGGGTTTCGGGTTTGGGGTTTAGGGTTTAGGGGGGTTTAGGGTGAAAATGGGTCAAGGGAAGGGTGCTTGAACAGCGCGGGGCCAAGGTTGTCAATGCTCTGTGGTGATGCGAATGGCTAGTTTCCATTTTTCTTTTCCATTATCCCCACATAATCCTCTATATAACCCCAATATATACCATAGTATACTATAGTAGTTTCCATGTTCTTTCCCATTATCCCAATATATCCCCCATATAACCCCAATATGTTCCCCCCTATAACCAAAAGGGGTTAGTTTTCCCCTTTCCTAAAAAGCAAAAGCTGATCATTGCCCAGATAATGCAATCCGTGTCTGCTTTGTGGCTGTGCAACCGACCAAAGCATGTTGCTTGCATTGACTTGCGGATGTCCTTAGTTTAGAAACTACTGGTGCCACTTACCAAGTGCTGCCTGCAGTCCGCATTGCTGCAGTGACGGCATGGCAACTCCCGCGGCAAATTCCATCACAGCGCTTAATCCATACCAGGTAACCCTGTGCATGTTGGGGGCAGGCTGCCGGGAGGAAAAAGACATTTGGCTGCACTCTCTTATCTGTTAGGTTTGCTGTGGTTGCATTGGGTAAGTGAGAGGTCGGCCATTCTTCGGGGACAACGGCCTACGTTGATACTGCAATAGCACATGGCTGAGGATCTGTAGATGTGCGGCAACGCTATTCAAGCCAGAAGGATGCGATTGAAGGCCAGGGTCTGCGAAGGGAAATTGGGAGTCGTGAATGGGGCAAACGAAGAAGCAGACTGCAGCTGATAACTCGGCGCTAACTCACACAACACAGGGGCATAATTTGAATGATGCGCATGGAGACCTTAAAGCCGCTGAACCCTGCAACCTCAGCCAGTGCCGACAAACTCCAAAACCTAAGCTGTCTCTGTCGTGGAATCCAGCACAGCTGCTCTTGCTTGGCGCAGGGCATCGCTTGCCAGCTTGGCAATACAAACGCGAAGTTGCATGATTCGGGAAGAAGTTTGCGTCTTCTGCATTTGACACCGTCGTCCTGTACACCACTGGTACGGGCAGGAAGCCAAGAAAGCCAATTTTGGCAGCCTCCAGCCAGAACTGCTCCCAGCAGTCCCTTAGAAGTGGTTTATGGTGACACGTCACAACCAGCGGTAAGGAGCAGCAGTCAAAACGCTGGAAGAAACTCTCTGGCCAACATGTACACCGAGCTCACTCCTTCTTGCGCATTCAACTTTGCCAAGCAAACTGTGTCAACGCAAAGGCTGGCGCAATCAGCCAGGCACTTCTCGGTCTGCGGGTAAGGCAGCATGCAAGCCTGCAGAAGATTCCAAGCATCTTCACAGGCAACGTCAAGCCCAGCCAGAGACAGTCCTCAAAAGGACCGTGTGGCAATGAGGGCTTGCGATTCCAGTTCCAAGGGAGCTTCATCACGTAGATGCCTTACCCCACGATGTCAAGGGATTACCTAGCTCTTTGGCCAGCCCATGTGACAGGGTCTTCATCTGCATGCGCAGGCTGCGTAGGTGCCGAGATGGCGGATAAACACCTCAGTACAAAATCCCAAGATGGCTGGTGCTTTTCCCCTTGCCCTCCTCGCTGCTACTGCGACTGCTACTGCTGCGACTACTCCTCCTACTACTTCTTCTGCTGAGATCTTGAACACAGTGACCCAGTTCCAGGACTCTTTGCCAGGGCGCAGTCTGTCTCACCTCATGTGCTGCGCGTGACCATGGCCTGCCCAGAAGTCCAGATTACCGTCATGGTCTACGGTTGTGTGCTGGGCGGAAAGTGGTCTTGACAATGATCCTGCTACAGTGCCTTTCTGCCTGCAGTTCAAAGGGCTCAAAAACGCATCAAAGTACCCACCGCAGACACCCCGTGAAAAAGACATGTTGAGAACTGGCCCTTCACGCGGGTTCCAAATGCTACAGCTAGTGCTGTTGGGGCTCTTACCCAGGGCCTCGGCAGTGAATCGCATCCCAAGACCATCAGACAGGCGCTTCTTTCGCTCCTGCACAGCACAGAGTCCAGGGATTGCAAGGAACCTACTTCCTACGCTCAGCACCGAAACCCTGCGCACCGCAGCACCCGCCGTCCCTGCACCACCAGATACAGTAGCCGACGCAGCTCCCGGCCTATGGCATGCTTGCTTGAAGCGACGCCAGCCTCACTCCATCAATACCGGCCCAGGCCTCTGATCCCAAGACCCTTGAAGACCTAAACCTAAACGCTTTGAACCCTCAAGCCGGCCTAAGCCACGTCCCCCCAGAAAGTTCCCTCGCCAAAATCTCTCAAAGCCCGGCGCCTCGTTCAAAGCCCGGCGCTCCTCGAGCTCCTGGGCTCGGTGCGTTGCCTGAGACGCAGTGGCCCTGATTTCAGACATGTCCTGGAGGCTATTGCTGATTGTTCAGAAGAGCTAGGTTTCTACAATTCTTACTGGGGAAGGGCGTTTTTGAGGTCGTTTTCTAGGCTTCAATGGGGCCCATACTCCACCTGCTCCATGAAGGATCTGTAAGATGTCAGAAGTTGGCTTCTGGGGTTTGCAAGGTCACACACTACGTTCCCGTAGAAATTGGAAGAGTTCAAGTAAGCAATCTTCAAGAAAAGTCAAGGGATGAGCTCACTCAAAAACCAGGCTACGAGAATCGCTTTTGGTGGATTGCTGGAGGGCAGGCGGAGCAAAAATGAACGCACTGCTACCTCCGTATGGATGTAGGTTGTGGGTCGGGACCTTAGTTTCAACATCGAGCCATGGAACGCATTACAAGCTTCAAGGCCAGCAAGATGTTGCAATTAGTGGATAAGATGGCGAGGCTACAGAACCGCTGTACGAGGATATCGAGGCTGACATGCCATTCAGGGGCTGTAGTTAGTGGCTTTTTGGGAGCTCGCCAGCGTTCTTCTTGCAGCCACACCTCAACCCTGACGTTGTGTTCCCGTTAAGAAGTTATGATGGTCGAGCCTTTGCTGCATCTCGTTCGGCGCGCTCGCTCTCGGGAACCAGAACCTGGCACACTGAAAACAAGTTGCTGCTGTTTGGGGCTCGATGTGTGGAATGGGGTTTGTGAAGTGAACCTGGAAGCCGTTCGACGATCGCTTGGGGACTAGGGTAAAAGAAGGCTGGAGACAAGTGTCGGTGCCAGGATATTGGGGTTAAGTCAGCATTCCTTGTTTAAAGGCTTGGACGTTAGGATCTCAGTTTTGAAGATGGGCGTCTGGCCACGATCCAATCGTCGATGGGCTTTATGAGGCGCTCTGGCCAAAAGAGCCCAAGAAACCATCACCCACTACATGCTTGTGCTTTCAGGTGCCGGTTAAAGCAGCTCGTCATTACTGAATTTGCAGCATTGGCATGTTCTGGAATACGGGGGAATGGCTGTTGGCAGGCTCTCGCAGTCTGCCTGTGAGAACATGGACTGCTCTAACTTGCATGTTCGGAATCTTCTGGGCATTTGTCAACTTATGAATGTTCCAGGACGCTTGATTCAGCGCGAATCCCTGCAAATGTCATCTGCGTAGAACGTAGCCCTCGTCATCCGCAACATGACTGTTCACAACTCCCACCAAAAAAAGTTGGTCTAGGGGCCTAGGGTCGAATGGCGGACTTGCAGTACCAAATCGAAAGCCCTCCTACTTGTATCTTTTACAAGCATCTTGCCCCAAATGACCGACGTGCGAACGTCTGAGCCTTATCCGCGCTTGAGGATGACATCAAAGTAAACTGAAATATCCCGTTCAGAGCCTGCAATCCCAAACCCTGAGCCCTGAACTGCCTCCAGCGCAAGGTTCACATATTTCTCCCAGGCAACACGCTCCTCTGCAGCACCTGAATGGATCTTGAGGGGCCTTGTCACGCGCGACTTTGGGCTGAATGGAGCATTTATGCGCGTGGCCATTTCTGAAAGAATTGGGATCTGCTGCAAAAGACCGCCAGGAAGAGATTCTCTTGTTTGAATTATCCGAAACGGCGTCGGCCTGTATTCCCTCCATGGTGAGATGGAGGCTCTTCACTGGGGATTTGAGTTTCGAAGTGCTACGTAGGGCTTAGGCTACGGGAGTTGCGGGATGATTCTGGGTTAGGGTTCAACGATGATAAAGGTTGTGGGATGATGAATTAGGGTCCCAGGAGTCCCTGTGTTGTACTGCGGGTTTGGGGGGGGACTTTCCCCGCGTGCGAAGGCTTTGATTTTGGAACTTTCGTTGTTGGCTATATGTGCTTTGGGCCAAGTTGAAGCTAGGGCGGGATGTGTACATACTCGCGGTACTGTAGTCTATCTATCGCCGGCCCTGCTACACTCTGAGGGCATCTTCAAAGGCTTCATGCAAAAAAAGAATCAATCGATGACCAGCTTGTTCAGCAATCTGTTGGTTGAGCCACCATGAATTCTAATCATGTCAGCATTACTCATGCAAAAGATCGAACGCAAGGTCTTGTCCCTTTCAATTGGCCCTAGGGTCACTCATCAGAAAGGCTGGAGTTCAACGCAGGCATCGCAAATCTCCCACATGCGATGCGAGGGTTATCACAGGCATTGGAAGTGCGCAAAACCCTGATGCCTAAATCCCTAAACCCATACCAATCTTGAAGACGCAACCTTAATCTGTAAGAACAGCATGCAGATGCAAACGCGAAGCATCAGACTTCAAACCTCGCTCCTCAATCGAATCGTATTCACGATTCACCAAGCCTACAACGCAGGAAACCCTGAAGGCGCATCCTCAACTGATTGATACCCCCCAGCCCCGTTGTACAACTGCACTGTATTTGGGGTATTGATGACTCCGGTACTCGCGTGTTGAAAGGTTGTTCTCAACACTAAGCCCTGAAAAATACAGTAGCTTCTATACGGGAAGGGCATTATCGTCCCAGCTTCCACTTCATTATCAAGATTCTTTTCCACTTGGTTCTCCAGCACTATACCTAGTTCCCTACATACATACACACACACAGACAGACAGACAGACAGACATACATACATACATGCATGCATATTACATAAGTGTATATATATATGTGTAGTATATGTATATTAGGATTTCCAGGGCAGTATGGGGGGCTATTCTCCCCGCCAAGTGTGGCACCAAACTCCAGCTGTAGCGCGGGTTGGTCCTGGCACTCGTACACGGAAAAAGAAAATCGAAACTACTATATCTTTAGAGTTTTGCGGATGGATACTGCGTGAAGGATAGCAACATAGCATGCAAGGAAGACTGAGCAGAAGGGGAAACTGATGTGAGCGGCAAGGGAATACTGACAATCCCTTGTTGCCATACGACCGGTGGAGATTCTTGGTATCTGTACATCCCATTCTTCTTTTGAGTAATAATGCCTCCTCAAGAATTGGTGAGGTTGCAAAACTGCCAACTGCATGGTTCTAGGCCGCTGGGAGAGCCTTGATGGCCAGCTCGAGCATGAGACCGGTGTTCCGGACATGGAGCACCTGTCATAGACATACGGCAGTACCTACAAGCCGGGCCCCAGAAATAGGGAATGCCAAAACGGTGGCCTATCAGAAACTACCTGCAATCACGGTTGGCTACCTGGAGCTTATTATGGAAGGAGCGAATGGATCGCAACTGTGGTCCTAAAACAATTCGTAAGATACTCCGCCTCATCTCTTTCTCCCTCTCTTAAGGCCATAAACCCTGCGGCTGCATCTGTTGCTTTCTTTAGGGTTTAGGGTGTAAACCTTGATTCAAAAGTTCTTGGACGGCTCAAATAAGACTTGGCACAAAGCCCTGAATCCAGGATTTAATAGGATCTGGCAAATCCTAAACTCCCAGACCCTCCTCAAACCTGAAGCGGGAACCCTTAACCAAACCTTTGCTTAGCTAGGAATAAAGGGAGGGATGCTTCATTACCCGTTGAAATTGTTTCCGTTTTCTTGTCCATTCCTTCATTCCCAGCTACGAGTATGCAAAGGCAAGTAACCTCCTACCTGGCTCAGGGGGATCTCTGCAGACTCCACCGGCCGCCCGCCGCGTTGTTCCAGACTCGCCCAGCAAAGGTCTCGCCAAGCCACAGGGTTTACTGAGGCGAGGGGGCCAAGGTTAAGGGGGGTTTAGGGTTGAGGGTTGAGGGGTTTGGGGGCTAAGGTGGTGGGTTTCTGTTTTGGGGCTGGAGCTTGGAGATGCGCAAGGATCAAATCTAGCGCTGCGTGGGACAAGGAGAGATGGATCTCCATAATAGCTCACGTTGAAGTAACCGACTATTCGAATCCGCAATGTAATCCCTGATTATATTTGGTGTTCATACAGAAGGGAGCCACGGACTTTTACGGAACCTCAAAATCGAGGGCCATATTTGAGGCCCGTTCAGAACAACGCCAGCTGCACCATCTTCAGGGTTTGAGCTAAGGATCTTGTAGCAGGACTTTCCAGCACTAGTAGGTCCCTTTGCCACTTGGCGTGTATTGTATTTGGCATAGCCTCAAGGACGGCACTGTGGCTTACCTGCTGCTCCTTCTGGGATGCACTGGACCCTATCAGGCTTAGGGGTATGTCTGAATGTCTTGACTTGGAAGGGAAACGTAAACATGTGCTCTTACAGAATTTAGGTTGGGTTGAAGTTTTCGATTCAGGCTCCTGGAGCGGTTCAGGCTTGTGGTGAACATGAACAGACAAAGGTAACCCAAGCTGCCAGTTGATTTTCCATTATCCCAATTGTTGCAACCCTCCAGCATCCCGCACCCATTATCCCAACATAATCCTAAACCCTAAACCCTATATAACCCATTGTAATTGTTTCCATGTTCTTTTCCATTATCCCTATATAAAGGCAAAGCTACTTTGACAGACTCCTCTGCGACAACCTCTTGCTCACAGCTCGCCTAAAACCCTGCAATATTCGGATTATATTGAGATTGTGGAAAATAAAATGGAAACTACTGTAATTACAGGGTTGATATACCCCGTTATAATATAGTAGCAGCAATGGTTGGAATCCATAAGTTGAATGAAAGGCTTGTGGCCTGGAATTCGGAGCGATAGCCACGAAGCAGTCTTCCGCCTGCCGCTCAAAAACATTTGACGAGCGACTATTTGCTGACGACGGCCTCCCCAACTAAGAATCAGCATACGAAAGGTGCTCTATTCGAGGATCTGCCTCTCGCCCATGGAGAAGAGACCAGCCTTGGGAATAAAAGACTTCTGGTAAGCAGGGTATGCAGGGTTGACTGCAGCTCTTGGCCCTATGCCTTGCTGGGAAGGCTGACCGTCACGCTCACGCCATCCTCTTCCAGGCAGCTTTCGTTCAGCATAGTAGATCACACCAAGTGAGTGCCTCCATCTTGGGACGGATGAGCTGGAATTCGCCTGACTGCAAAGGGGCTCGCAAATCATGCGCTGCATTCTGCTTGTGAATACCGAGGTAGCGACCGCTGCGCTGACCAAGTTCTCGACACTGCGGGCACTGGGATCCACAGAAGCATCCTATGCCGGCCTGGCTGTGATAGTATCCGAAAACGAATGTTGTACTGCGCTGGACAAGTTCTGCTTGCCCAGATTCAGGCTCTTATCAAAACACCTGAGATTTGCCTTGGGGCGTAACGAGTGGGTACGCTGAATGAAGCTTAGCACAAGTGGTGCCAGCATTTGCAGCACTTTCACTTCCAGTTGGGCCGATCTCAGTAGCACGATGCCACTTCCAACACAGGTCAGGAGCACCACAGCGAAGGAACTGCCCAAGCAAGAGGCACACAGGTAGCGGTCACAGGCACCGCACGTCTGCCGCCTGTAAAGGCTTGCCGGGAACCGAAGCTGTACCAAAAGTAGTGTGATTCCCTGGCTACGAGGGACTTTAGGTGGTTCAGGATTGCCGCCATCAATTGCAGGGTGGAGGAATTTCAACATGATGCGCACATCAACAGAAAGAAGCGTAATTAGGTCGATGTCCTAATCCTAGCACCGGATTAATCTGGGGGGACCCCCCCTGCCAGAATAAGACATGGAGGGCGCCAGATGAAAGGAATGATTGGGGCTCCTAGAACTCAATTAAAAAAGAATAGGAATGCATTCCCGTGTCATCGGGGCTCTTGGAGCTCTATTAATTCAAAATGACTAGGAATGTATTGAATATTCTATTTTCAGGATTGCTTCCCTAGAAAATTTCTTTAAATCTGGTCCCTTTTCCCCATGCGAAAGGCCACCTAATTGTAGCTAGTCTTTGGCGGCTAATTTTACACCAAAAAAATCCTTAAAATGTGGTCCCTTCTATTAATCTAGTGCTCGGATTAAGACCTAAGAATATCTGGCACCACAGTCGCCAAAGCACAAGGTTTTGGAAGGCACTGCGCGTGATATACTGCTACACTCCTCACGCAATCACCGCCTCCTGAACATCCCGAAAAGCTCACCGCAGCTTTCACAGCGAGAGCCGTCCTCAGAGCTTGCTTCACCAAACAAATCATTAGTATTGTTACTATTATATATATGACCATTATATTAAACAATGCTATTCCTGTTATGCTTACTATATTGCCATTCTTATATTTTTCTTATGACGACTATTGCTACTTCTGATTCTGGCAGCGAGGTTGAGACCTGGAAGGGAGCTGTTTTTACAAGCCGGCATCCCTGTTCAGTCAGGTCATGGAGGCAGCAGCTGCTGATTGAAGTGGCCCTTCAAGAGGGCTGACGGGACACATCCCTGCACCTGTAAGGATGAACCCCAGGGAAACGACAACAACAACAACAACAACAACAACAACAATGATAATACTAATAACAAGCATAACCAGAACAATAAATAACAGTAATAATAACAATAACAGTAATAGCAAACAACAATAGCAGGACATTTAAGTAACACCAACCCTCAGACGGGGGCCTATGACTGCTACGTTCTGACTGTTGATTCCAAGCCGCTGCGGCCGGCGCTGCGGAGGCAGTGCCTCTGCCAAGGAGGTTGGCGCCTCAGCAGTAGGTTCTCAGTGGTGCAGGTTGGTCGGCATCCCGATTTCAAACAGGAAGTCGAAAGGCTTTTGGTAAGGGGAGCCTAATACTAATCCTGACAGACCTTTGCTTTCCGCTTCCCCATCTGCAGAGAGTTCTTCAGGTTTTCTTGATCAGCTCGAAAAGCCTTCGGCTGCGTCGCGCTGGCAAACCTTTCTTCCTACAGCGAAGTGTTGAGGGCCAAAGCGCAGCCTGCAGCGTTGCGCATTGCTCTGGCTCAAAGCTTCAGATTCTGATAGCACCCCTTCTTGGCACTGCTTTGGCAGTCGCTCTGCCCACCGCCTCTTGCGGGGCCAGGCAAACGAGGGATGAGTTTCATAAATCAGCATCAACTCGCTGCCGCTTGCACCGAAAGTGAGCACGGGAATTAAATTTTGGCGCGGGATTTACTACGGCTCATGCCCAGAGAGCCGAGTTCAGGCTTTGCGCTTGAAGGCTGGCGGCTAAGGATTAGCAATCAGGTCCAGGGGGTTCAGATTCATGGGTCTCCTTTGCAGGCCGCTCCATGCCTGCCACCTTGCCGGTATAGCATAGTACGCTCTACAGGGCCTGGCGGGGTAACAGCTGATCAAGGTTGAAGGTTTCGTGCTTAGCGTTGAGGATTCAGGGTTGAGGGTGTAGAGGTGTGAATGTAGGGAAATGCCCGTTGGAGTTCCCCTGTGGGCGTGGCAAATAAGGATTTTTGAGCCGGCGGTTTCGTGTTCCATGTTGTGAACATTGTCGTAGCACAGTGCTGTTTTACACAGCTCCGGCTATCTACTCTGGTTGTTGATTTTGCTTTAGCCCTGGGCCTGTGTAAGGCAACCTGTTCTGGGCACTGAGCGAGTTGTAGGGAAGGCTTGCTCCATCTCACGTGTATCTAAAAAGCCTGGCAACCCTAAAACCCAAATCTAGAAAATGAAGACCCTTTCCTCAATAACCCCTGAAAGACTATAAACCTTTTATCCCGGAACCCGATATCCATCTAAATCCTAACCTCCAAAACTCCAATGAAAACCCTAAACCCCAAACCCCCCAACCCTACATCCTAAACCCTAAACTTCAAACCCTAACCCCCAAATCTTCAAGGCTGCAAGCCTAAGGCTCCTTGGATTTATGAAATTCAGGGGATTGGGTTCCTAAAATTAGGGGTACCGTTGTGGGAGTCCCCATGTTAAGGCTTGTAGTATTGGGAAGTCTGCTGTTTTAAGTTCGAGGCACTTTTCTGTTGTCCGGGAGCCCCAACAGGTAAGCGCAGGAAGTGACAGGGTTTGGTCCATGCGGGTGAGCGATTGCAGGGCCTCACTATCAAAAGCCTGAACCCTCAAAGCTTCAGGCTCTAGTCTAGGCACCTTCTTCACAAGAGCCATAGTCTAAACTCCTAGTATCCCCCTCAATAACCCATATACTAGTCCCCTATAAGATCCCCTAAATAGGCACCCACCAAGGAGTTTAGACTATAGCTCACAGGGTCCTACCGGCTGGAAGCTGACAAGCACGGGACTGCTGAGGAAGCCGCGCGCTTCTCCTGCCAGGTTGGCCAAAGCTCCCCGCCTGGGCTCTGCTAAAGCCTAAACTCCTTAAAGGGAGTTACATAACGGACTATATAGGGGTTATTCAGGATGGTGCTAGGAGTTTAGACTATAGCTCAGGTAGAGTGGCAGGGAAAGGAGGAGGATCAACGCAATGTAGCTGGGTGAAAGATGGGGACAGGGTGATTTTGCCCAGGCCTAGTCCTGCCTAGTCCTGCGCGCGGACATGACACGACTAGATTCTGTATATAGGAGCGCGCTTGCTCAAGGGATCTAGTGTTGTTTATAGTATCAGCCTCACAACTGCCCGTGTTTCGCTGTCTACTCATTGCTATAAGTGGGGATTGTAACTGAACAGCGTGAAATATCATCTGAATTGATCTTCTGTAGAAGAAAGCCCCGTGTAAGCATTCTGGACTCTTTCTAGCGTCTACCGTGTCCAGGGCCCGGGCGCCCGCTGCGCCCCATCCTGGCTGTCGGAATTTCTTGCCGGAATCCTTGAGAACTTTCAAGAACTTTAGCTCAGCTTGAGAATCCAAGGAAGATGATTTTCTTTTGGATCTATATGCAGATTAAAAAACAGATTTCACTCGCTTTTGAAGACCCTCGCATCCCGATGGCAAAAATACTATTCCTATTCAGCTGAGCCTCAGTGTCTCTTTTCCAGATATGGAAACTCAAGTCAAGGTCTCAAAGTAGCGGCCCACGCAGATACGTTACTAAGCAGGATTAGGAGTTCTCTAGATAGGACTTGTACGAACCTTGAAATCCTGCTAAGAAAATTATTGGGCAAGCTCCAAGGCAACCAAATATGTGCCCTGGAACCTTGGGTCCTACATACTATTGCAATGCCCTCGGCATTCCTTCTTTTGCAGGGCTCCTCCTGAATAGGTGAAGGCAAGTTCCCCTTCCCTTCGGATCCCCTTCGGCTTGAGCTTTGCCGTGACTCGTTGCTGTTCGCTACACGCAGCTGCAATGCTTGGATAACGGACCCGGCAACCTGCAACCTCCATGCCGGCCACATCGTCCCAAGCGGCTCCTGAAGTGACTGTGCCACAGAGGCCCCAGTGAGTCCGGCCTAGGCTCAGCAGGGTAGTCCTGGAAGCATAGGCATCTTTCCTGTAGACTGTCGATCTCTGCGAACGTACATAATGTCTTTCTAAGGCATGAATGCTTGCTATCTAGGTCAAGGAAGCGTCCAGGACGTTTGCC